AAGAGAATGAGGCTATTACTCAGTTATTTTGCGAAAAACACTTGCTCAGCAAAGGCTGTCTTTCTATGAGGAAAGGATTACTCCCAATTGTTACCCTGGGAATCTAGGAAACCAGAAGGGGAATCTAAGAAACCAGAAAAGGAATCTCGCGCTGAAAAGATAGGGCGATCTTTCCTCATAGAGTATCAAACCGGAGTTTAAGGTTCACTCTACTTTTCCAGCTTAAGGAGACAGCCTTATTATAGAACACAATCGTCTGCCCTATTCTCACCACTTCGCAGCTGAGGTTCTGGCTCGTGGTCGTATTACACACATGGCCTAATGGTCAGCATATTAGATTGTGGGTTACCTGTTGTCAAACACAGGACAGTTTCATAGTTAGCGTTTATCTCCGCCCAAGGGTACAAGTGAGCCCAGGTAAATTGTGGGGGCAACCCACTAAGATATAGAGGTTAACTTTTTATGAGCTACGTGTAGCATATGGGGTTGATTTATGCCATACTAAAAATAGATGTTACAATAATTAGATATTTTTGCTCTTTTGCACGGTGTTCATACGGCACAGTCACCTCCAACCTCTACTTATTATTTTAAGACAAATGACAGTAACATCAGCACGTTGTGTTGTTTTGATCTTCATACTAATTTGAATTTTGTTCTTGTTTCATGTGAATTGCTGTGGACTCTGTGATGCTGGTAACCTAACTTCCTCTTTTTACTTTTACTTGAATTGTTCTGTATTTGCTTTGTGTTGTGGCCTGTCTTTCCTCCGACCACAGGCAAAAGAGAGGCTTCATCCTTGCCTTTGCCCCAAGCTGATGTAAAAAAGTCGAAGACAGAGGAGGACGTGACTGCCCAGGCTTCAGGAATAGCTTCGCTTGTAGCTTACGGTGACGATGACTCTTCAGATGAAGAAGGAGGAAGTCTTTCCCCAGACGACAACCCAAATGATGGCACGCAGAGCAAGGATGTCAGGAGAAATCGGCAAGGGACTACCAGGCTGCCATTTTGGGCCGTCAGAAAGTAGTTTTGTGGTGAATGTAAGGGGTGGCGAGGGTCGGGTGAGGAAAAGGGGTTGGTTGGGGAATTGTGTTTTGAAACGCTGTTCCAAATTGTTTTTTACTTAGGCAACATTTTTTCGCAATTTTTGTCGTGAAGGAGCGAAGTCTCATCAAGACTATAACTTTGTCTTTCATCTTTACAACGCTGCCACTGTCGAGGATTCTTCTCCGGGGATACCTTGCAGCCCTTTATGCTTGCGCTATTAACACTGAAACCCTTCGTTCGCTTATCTTGAAAGTGATAGCGAAATTTTACGTAAACTACCACTAGCAAGTCCAAACAGCGTGCGCTCCGAGTGATTATGGTGTTTTTGAACTACTTTGTCCTTGTTCCTTGTTTTTAATTTTTTGGGGGGAGGGGGACAGGGGAATGAAGTCCAGGCCGGCTTGGGGTAATATCCCCCCTGCCTCCTCCCCCCCCCCCAAAAAAAAAAAATGAAAACATTTTCAGAATTTCTAAGTCTTAGAAGAAAATTGCAGGGGTGTTACCTTACGTAAACAGCTTGAATGGTGACGGCGCACACTTTGGCGTGAAGAACTCGCGCCCTCAGCGTGCACGAAAATTGCTACTATTGACTTCGTGTTAGGGAACTCCCGGAAGCTCTCCCTAATGTGCGAATACTGGGCGGGGAAGGACGAGATTTCTATTTCCTTACACACACACACACACACACACACACCCCCCCCCCCTTCCTTTTGACCGTCGCTCACCTCCTTGGTTCAAATGTCTTTCTCTCCTCTCCCTAGCTTTCTACTGCCGCAAAAACAAAGAAAATACTGAGCAACTCCCTTCCCCTTCTCTCTAAAACTTTGAATGTTTTGTAGGTTATCAACACAGTTTAGATTGTAAGAAGAAAAAAAACAAACAAAAAAATTTGGAATGAAGAATAAACAAGGGGTCTGAGAATGATGATAAAGCAGATCATTTTCCACCCAATTTTCCGTCTCTAATTTTTCATTTATGTAATATTGGATTGATTATATCATCATCATCATCATTGTTGTTGTTGTTGTTGTTGTTGTTGTTATTATTATTATTATTATTATTATTATTATTAGCGTTTTCGCTATCACCATAATGAGTGAAAAGAAAGGGAAGAAATGATCAGTTTAGACTTCGTTGAGATCTTGAGCCATTTTCCTAAGAATAGCATACAATTATGGGAATGAAAAAAAAAAAAGTAGCTTGCCTAAGAATGTCTCTGAATGCGAAGCCCGTGATGTGAACGTGACCCGGCTGTCAGTTCTTAAAGTCCACCTGCAGTGGAATTCGTCCCTCGCTCACGATGCAAGTTGGAAAAGTAGCAAAAAATTACAGGAAATAGAACGGCAAAGGGGCTTGATTTCGAATGACAATGGAACACATGACCAATTTTGTTAAGGATGACATACAGAGCCAGTCAGATCAAAGTGATTCACAAATAACGGTTGGTAATTTTTCGCTTCTTCCAACATTTCTCTTAACCACCACTTCTATCTAGAGTTCAAGTGTTTAGGGTTCGTTCCTGAACGACGCTTAAAAGGAATGGAAGACCTCGAAAGACAGACCTGCTGATTGTGTACCTTTGAGTTTCGATTTTCCCTTCGACTGCGAATAGGTCACGAGGAAAACCAACCCTTACCCGCCATCGAAGCAATATTTGTTTAAAGTTAGAAAAACTCGTAAAACCGGATTAAACATTGCCTTCTTTCGCCGGACGTCGTAATTCTAACGTCATCTCTCGTGATGTTATTATTTTTTTTACCGCCAGTAATTGCATACGTTTGTTGAAACAAAAGGGTTAAATCTTGGAGGACGAGAACTTACAGCTTTATGGGAAGAAGTTGTCGTTTATTTTTGCAATCGGTGATTTATTTTCCTCATAATTCATAGAATTTATTCTTTTTTCGGATAATTTTTTTCTACCAGGAAGACGTGGATGGCTTCCATCAATAACTCTTAAAGTCGTAGGGTGTCCCGTTCATTCTTGACAGGGTTTAGGTTCCAGAGCTTTTAAAATCCACTGTATATGGAATATTTTTACAGATCACTACACAACTCGATATAAAAATCTCTGGTGGAAAACAATTAACAGAACGCAAATCAGAATGGAAAGCGACTGAGTTTCGTAAACACTAAACAAATTAGATTATCCATAGTGTTCCCAAAATGGCTCTGGCTCAGCTCAGCTGACAGAGCAAACGGTCAAGAAAGACTAGCTAGGTATTTGGAGAATGTGATCTCATATTTTCTGTGAATCAGTGCTGATAAAAAATATAGATCACAAGGGATACTTGTGCATGCCTTGTATTCCTGTCCCATGCCTGTTTACGTCTTTATAAGCGACAAAACGGACATCCCTGCATCCCGCGGAATCCTATCAATTTTGTAGCTTGTATCGCTCAAAAGATCTGCATTAACATCTGTTTCGCCACAAAAATGACCAAGAATTTGCGGAGGAACAGAGATTCACAGGGAAAGGGGGCAGGTGTAGGGGTGAGTTGCCGTGGGGATGAACATCAAATCGTTGACATCCGAAAAACCAAAGAAGACTGAAAAAAAAAAAACAACAACAGCCAAAAGGAACCAACTTGAGAACTTACGATACACCCTACTCGTTTACTTGTTTTCAGTGAAAAAGGTGACCTCGAACTGTGTCGATGATAAATAACAATTTCAACTTGAACCATTTTCGAATCCCTCCCTTTTCAAAGCATATTCTTTCATCCATACATTGAAGTACGGTTATCATGCGATCTATTTGTGTCGCCGATGATCTGATCTGCAGTGCAAGAGCTGATCGCTACTTTACATATACCACTGTGGTGCAGCGTGGTCTATGGTGTCTCCGACAGCGATATTTGTAATCACAGCAGTCAAAATGTTGTGTACTTACGAGGCGCGAGAAAATAAAAAATAGTGATTTCAGCTCAATTCCGGGCACAGATCCAAGTATTCAAACATAGTTCATCCGTCATGGCCCAACGGCGATCACGAGATCACGGTAAAGACTTGCAGCGGGACGTTTGGCGCACGTTAAAACTTTCATTTGAGAAACGCTTTAGAGTATAACACTCGTATGTGTAGAGATTGAATTTGTAGTTCAAAGAATAAAATGTCTATCATTTTCTGTCTGGTGGAAAAACTGAGATATGCTAGTTCCGCAACAAGAGTACTATCTCGTAACAACAGACATTCGAATATTATCGCTAAGCCGATGACCGAGTGCGTTTTGGTCGTGATTACTTTAGGACTGTTTACACACAATTGCCTCATAGGTTAAACTTAGAAATAACGGTACCTTCAAAACCTCCCAAAAGATGAGGAGACGGCACGCAAAATTGGTGTAACTGAGGGTGAACCACGTGCTGTATTTTACGCGCCAGCTCGGACGAGCGATATGTCTCACCACGGGGTACCTAGGCTCGCACAATGGCCCCTGTCAATATGCAAATATGCGACTTTACGCTGCGCAATTGGCGAAAAATAAGAATTTGCTTGAGTAAAATCGGCTGCGTTCTCAACCTAAAAAATCTGAACTAGTTTTGAACATAAAAGCGAACTTACCTAACTTAACCCTATCGGTGCCAAGATCTTATTTGTAAATCTCTTCACTGGCTACTATACAATTCCTATGATGTTAGTTCAGAGAATTTGGTATTGGATCAACTAATTATCCCCCAATTGATGTTTCTTTATTCTCATCACTTGTCAGCTTGATATTGTATTGATATTGTGAGGAGAAATTCTGACTTGGTCACTCTGGGAGTTAAAAGGTTGTTGTTTCTTTGCATGTTGTGACTTTTCTGGGCTGAGTTAGGGCCGTTAGGCTCAGATTCAGTTGATCAACTGCGCCCTTCCATATGTGACGGTTAGGGGAGGGGAGGGGAGGGGGGGGGTCATCAGGGTTTAACTTTTCTGATGCACAGAGTAAAAACACCATCACTTGTCTGGTAGAGAAATGCTATAATTTTATTATGCACTGTGCCAACATTTTACAAACATCCACACACTGGTGCAAATTCAATACCTAAAGTTACCTTAATATATGCCATGAACTGATAAATAAGTTTCCCGTTAAAATACAAACTTTTGAAAATTTACTTCATACTTTTAAGTTCTTGTCCTGTAAAAGACTACATATCATTAACAGTTGTAGAAGTACTGTAGCCATACAAATACTTCTGAAACACTTTCAATACCTTCAAATTACAGTTGAGTCTAGACACATCTTAGTGCCTTATAAACTTTCCAAAGTAGTACAAATAAATAGTGTTTCAAAAGACTGAAAAACATTGTATTTAAAGACTCTTTTGTGCTAGAGCTATTAGCTCCAACAAGAAGGTGTTCTTCAGCAACTCAAACCCAATAATGCTTTCCACACTTGTAGCCACTTGTAGCCATAAAATTCAAGTTTGGGTTTTCAAAAACATGGAAAAATATACTAAATGAAAGCAAAACTGTCAACAGTAATTAAATCAGGTAGTCTTAGCAGAGATCACCTTTAAGTTAGTAAACCTGACTATCAAGGTAAAAACAGAAGTTAAAGTGGATTCTTAAATTTCTGAAAACCCTTCTACAGTATTTTAACATTTAATTGATAAGAAAGTGCACTATTTTGAGACAGGGTCCTGTTAAGAATTTCCTCAAAGCATGGCAACATTGTCATTGGAAATGTGAACAATCTAAGTGTGAGCAACATAACAAAAATATCAAGTTTTAGGATCAATATCAGTATCTGGGCAACTGCCCACCTACCCCTCCCCTAACCCAACATTCACCCTGACTTGTTATCAAAAGTTTTAAATATAATATATGAAACTGTAAGCCAGTAAGGGGGTTTAATATCATGGAGATGATTTAACCACAGCAGGAACAATCATTCCAAGATACGACTTTACCTATGATCATGCACTACTCACTAAAAATTAGCGATGGCTATTTTTTCCAGTAGCTACCTCTGACAATACTTTGAAAGATTACGATCACAATATCAATTTACAAGCCCTGATACAACTAAAGCTTAAGTTAACCAAACAATGAAGTTGCCCTTTTCAGCTCATTCTATGCTCATTTGATGTGCATCCTTACTTGAAGATGAAGGCATGCTGTAAAAGGGGAGGTGCCTTAAGTACCTCTGGATTATTTGTCAATCAACTGTTGAGGCATATGGACCACTACATTAAAAACAGCTTTTAGCTGTAGCTGATCCAAAGTGAGTGAACAGCAGGTAGACTTCTCAAAAGCTCTAATAAGTTTCAAAACTGTCTTCATTTGTGGCAGTAAATCTGATTATTTACTTCACCATACCCCAGCATAATTTGCATTTGGGCTGAAACCAAGGGGCAGAGCCAACCTATTTATAGTACACCTTTGTATTTAAATATTAAGAAAAGTGCTTGGGGACATTCTCAATATGTTATTATTCAGAAAGTTGAAATCAGAATAAAGGGATCCAAGTTGTACCTGCTCATTTTTTCGCTATTTTACAGGGAGATTGCTCCATTACTGCCCCCCCCCCCCCCACCTCCTGGAAGTTGATGCCTGTGGCCTCTCACTCTCTGCCTGCAAATCAACTTGAGAGCTCTGCATCATGCAATATATATCTTGGATAACATATGGAATAACACAGCAGTCAACTACATACCTTTCAAACATATCAAACTCAGAAATAAAGCATGAAGTTAACAAGAGAATACAAAAAACACCAGGAAGTTGAAAAAGTTTGCATACTCAAAATAAAGTGGTTTTAAACATGTCATCCACTTGATATAAATAGTTTTTTTGAAAAAACTCCTTTGGATAAAATGTTTCTGTATCCTATGTTTTGCCACTGAGGCCATTTTTTTGTGACAGGTAGGTACATGTACATCTTAAAGAATGCGCAGTGCCACACACCCAAAGTTGCACCTTGTGTTTACAGCACCAACAACAATCCACTTGTTGTTATCCTGGTCATAATATTCAATGCTATTTGTCACACGGCCTCCCACAACATAAATGGTGTCATTCACAACTGCCACACCCAGACAGCGACGTCCAGAATTCATTGGTGCGACAGCCTGACTCCACTTGTCTATTACAGGGTCATACATCTCCACACTGTTGCTGAAAGACTCTCTGTTGTCTGAGCCACCAATTGCATAAATTTTGCCTTTCAAGACAGCCACACCTAGGCTCCAGCGTGCAGTACTCATTGATGCAATAGCCTCCCACTGGTTTGTATGAGGATCATACCGTTCAGCAGTGTTCAATGGTGCCCAAAGATGGTCTAACCCTCCAACAGCATATATCTTGCCTTCTACTACGCCAACACCTAGGAAAAATTATTTTTAAAAGAGCTCTAAGTTATACATGAAAACTGAAGCCTTAAACTGGTGATCTTGATTATGTTGAGGCTGTGCCAGAGAACTCCACTCCAGCAATTTTCATCTCTTGAAACCTGCCACAGGTGCATGTAATGATCAAAGTCACCTTCTGATATATCCTATCAAAATATTTTTTTTTTCCTAAAATGAGTGATGTGTTTCTTATTATTTAGGGGAAAAAAACAACAGAGACAAAAATTATAGAAAAAAATTCCTGAAGCATGGATGTCTACAATCAAAAAGCGTGATAGCTGATCAGTAACAAGCCAAGTGATGAGGGAACAACATCTGGTAGTTGAAAAAATAATAAGGATCAAAACACACCAATGACAATCACAGTTCACCAAAACACACCAATAACAGCACAGGTTATATAGATAGTGACATGTTAACTTTTGACCACATCCCCTGATGAAGACTAGCAGTATAGCAGTCAAAAAGTTGCAAGCAATACCAATGATAACCTGACTCTATATTGTAAGACAAATGATGAAATGTTCTTTTATCAACATGACAGTGATGAACAACAGCATTTTTATAAAAAGAAAAGGCAAAAAAAAGGACAGCAGGGTACATATCCTGAAGCATAAATTTTGAATTTTTCACTTTCCATCACCTAAGGTGTCTTTAAACTTACCTGGATAGTAGCGAGCATACATCATGGAGGGTAGAGACCTCCAAGTCATGGTTTCTGTATCAAACTGCTTTGCACACATACTGCTGTGACCACCAACGGCATAGATGAATCCCTCATATTCACACACACCAGCCCACTTGCACTGGACATCAGGACCTGTTGCTACCTGGATCCAGGAATTGGCAATGGGGTCATACTTTCCCACTTTGTAGCGACTGACAGTGTATAATTCGTCACCAGCAGCAACCACACGGATGTAATCCTCTCTAGCTACATGAGCCACAGACATCCCAGCCACAACTGTCCATTCCAAGGTGTCCACATTGAAGCACTGTACACTGCTAATTTTCTGACCATTCGACCATCCACCTATGACAAAGATCTCTTCTGAGGCCATACGTGGTCTGACACGGAAATTATCAAGGGCTGATGTCGTTTTACTTTCAACGGCTGTTTGATAGCTGACGGCTTCACGGATGAGTTCCTTACACATGCGGTACTCTTTCGTGAGTTTGGAGATCGCCGCGTTTCCATGTAAATATTGTAGATTCATGAGAGGAAATCTCACATACTGCATGATGTCGGGAACGAAATCCTTTCTAGCTCTCGTATCGTGATTAATCCACTGCAAAACAGCCTCAAAGACTACCTCTTCGGACTGAACCTTCAATGAATCATCCATGACCAATTCTTTCAGTTGTTTATAAGGCATCTTCTTGAATTCGTCCTCTTTGTAAACATCCGTAAAATGCCACAAAGCAATGCGATTAGCATGTTGACTCAACTCATCGAGGGAAAACAGATCAGCGACGAACTGAAGTCCAATACAGTTCGACGGAGTCAAGTTTCGTCGAAGGAACGTCTCGCAGTGATCTACTAAAGTCGTTAAACGAAACAGGACACATATTCGGAGGATCTCTTCTACGTTGTAAACATTCAGCTCGAGTTCCGAGGTATAAAAGTAGTTAACAATCAGTTGTACTGCGCAATAATCGACTTCTTTCAAATGAACCTTCTGCTCGTTAGCTTCTGAAAATCCGGACAAAAACATAGCCCTGAAATACGGACTGCACGCCGCCAAAATCGCTCGATGCGCGACTATCTCGCGAGAATTTACCACTAGTGTGACATCTGACAACTCTTTCCGTCGTCTCATGCTGTCTAACACTTCTAAAATGTCTTTGGGAAGTGAGTCCTCGACGATTACAGTTGAAGAAGGATCCATTGAAGTGGCTACGTAAAAATACCATCGAAGAAAACTAATAATAGCTGCGATAAGCGACGCGCTTTTGTATTGCCGGAAAACAAAAGAACATCGGTCGAGCGGTTCAAAATAGAACTTTAGGACTGGGAAAAGGAAAACTATTTATCCGTTTATCAGATTAACTATCATCGCTTGATCCTTCCCATATTTGCTGTTTCCTTCCTATATCACGATTCCAAAACTCGCATTCCAACTAATATGCGGAATATGCAACACAAAACTTACATGTGTGGTGTCTGACAAAATCCAAGCCGCGCTAATTACCACTTGACATGATGAAAGAATGGAATTTTTCTACACCCTCCCCACCCATAACAGTTGTGCTGTTTACCTCGTTCCATTCCCCGCTCTGCAGTTTAATCGAAAATGGCGGTCTCGTGACTCGCCCTTTTCAGGTTATCTGGTAAAGGTCTGCCGACAAGCTACATACAAGTGTCTTTTTGTATAGTTACCCAATGAAAAACAAAATTATAGAATGTTTAGCTTTCGAGGAGAGAAAAAGGAACGTAAACAGGTACCTTCAAGTAAAATAGTATCAAAATCAATTGATTTCTTCGTCAGCTGTTCCAGGGCTACTATAAATATTTGTAATGTTAATTTGTTGCCCTCGGGAATGTCAATTTTAGATATTTTGTTAGGATAGTAATCGAAAAAAGTCATATGAAATAACTACGTTTAGATAGATATATTCATGAAATGCATCTTTTCCTCTCCTTTCAAGAAAAAAAATAAAACTTTGATCTCAGTCATTTCATAAAATTGTCAACCAGTTATTGTGTTAATTCTGATAACATGAAACTAATTAATGTGGTGAAATGTTGCGTACTGTGTTTGTTTTAATAAGCCTTTGTTTTGTTACAATTAAGGTAGAGGATGTGCCAGAGATTGAAGATGACCAGCCAAGAAATCCCTACACAGAGCTGAGACTTCTGTCCTCACATACAGACATTGTTCATTTGTTGACTGTTATTGATGACAGAAGGTAAAATCACTTTTAGTATGATATTTACTCTTACATACCAGCTCTGTAAGTATAATAGCATTGTCATGGCACCAGTGTGCCTTGTTTCTCATTTTGTGGAGTTGTAAATATTTCCTTTTAGAACTACATCTACGTCATAATAGTTTATGCTAGCTACCACATGACCTTCAGTTAAATTTTGTAAGTCTCAATGAAATTTGTTGGGAACCACCAGATATTGCTTTAATATACAGAACTAGCCCAGAGCATTTGCCTACACATCTTGCTACAAAGGATCTCTGTAAGATTTACTCAATAAATCTGAGCCTTGTGGAACTTGTGAGTCATTCAGTCTTAACCCTTTGATCTCCAAGAGCGACCAGCATCTAATTTCTCTTAATAGTATCACCCCTGAATCATACAGTAAGGTCATGAGAACAAAGGAAATCATCACCAACAAAGGAGGCTCTTGATTTTCAAACAAGTTCTCCTTTTCAGTACCTTAAGAAATGTATAGAGAACAGTATGGAGAATATGCATACTGATGTTAGGGTGTAAAGGGTTAAGTTGCATGGATCTCTCCACCTCCAGAGCTGATGCCACTACAGGCATACACGATGCAATAGAAGTCTATGAGCATATATTTGTGAAAATGCATATTATATATGACTTGTGACTAGCAGTAACTGATGAGAAGTTTCAAACATGCAGTCTTGCTAAAATGTTTGGAAACTTATGTCATCTAGCATGAAAGTAACCCTTTTTTAGGGTAAGTTTATCTAGATGGAAATTTTACCCGTGATTAATCTCTTTTAAATTACTTTCATTTTGAATGGAGAAAGGACAGATATCAATTGTGGAGAAAGATTTGTTTTGTCTCTGAATTCCCAGAAGCTCAGTTTTTTTAAGAGGCAAATACATAGTGAGGCTAGTGCAGTATACTTTCTTAATATGCATTGTTTGCTTAGAGCATTTTCTCTCTTTTTGACAAATCTAATGGGGGAACAACTGTGAAGAACAAGTTTTTTGGACAAAAGTTAGTAGCAACTCTCAAAGTAGAAGAGATCGTAAAGGGCTCTGCACCACTACATTGAAGGAAAATTTTAATATTAATTTGGAAAATGCTACTTTGCGTCATGTAATATTCTGAAGCAAAATGATATATTTTTGCTTCCAGGTTTGCATCAGCTTCTGATGATAACCTTGCAGTCATTTGGGATGCTAAGGTCCTTATCAGAATGAGTATAATGTTTTATTTTATGAATTGTAAGACTTTGTTGTCATGGCTTAGTAGCCTTCATATTTAGATGTTTGCATTCTTAGCTTAAAACTGATGTAATTTTTATACATAGAATGGAAAGCGCCTCAGTGTTTTGAGAGGCCACACACGACCCATTAAGTGTATGCTCCTCTTGCATCAGCGACAAGAATACCAGAATGAAGAAACAGCCACCATTCTTTTGCTCACAGGTTCATCAGACAGAACCATATTAGTATCCTTTCACCATCATAGTTATATACATTCATGGGTTATTATTAAGCAAATTGACACTCAAGTTTAATCCATTAACTCCCATGAGTGACTGTGCAAGACATAATTTATCCTCACAATATCAATGCAATATCAAGCAGACAAGTGAGGAGAATGAAGAAAAATATCAATATATGTAGGGGATTATTAGTTGATCCAATACTAAATTCTCCAAATAAACTAACATCATGAGAGATATATGGCACACAGCTTTGGAAATGCCCCCATAAAAAAGAAATCTCCATTACAGAAAAAAACTAGTTTATCATTGTTCATTACTTAAACATTGCAATCCATGTACAATCCCTCAGACTCACAAACTCACTCCTCTCCATGTGCTCACTCTCCACAAGAATCACCTGTCAATCATACTCAGTATTAGTTCCCATCAGACAGTAAGAATAATTGCTAAGTAAATGAGATCTTGGAAGTCAAAGGATTAAAACAGCTGCATTCAAATGTCACAAATGTATCCTTGTGTGAATCATTGCTAGGGCCCAACATCTCACTCCTTCAAGGAGAGTCAATGAGGACCTAAGTTTGCAAGAGTTCTAAAAAATGTGAATTTGAATGACACAAGGGAGCAAAATGACTTATGATTTAACATCAGGTGTGAGGTGTCAAGTTTAAAGTTATCAGGATTCAGCTAAAGTGTGTTATCCATCCAGTGGTATTGATTCAATTTCTTATTAGTTTGCCAATTGTACCTTCATGTTAACTTTCCTTAACTCTCATTTTTTTTCAATTATTCATGTTTGAAAGGTTTGGGATGTAAATGATGGTCAGTGCCTTCACACAATCTCTGATCATTGTGGCTCTGTGAAGGTTGCATGCTCCTGCTAATGTCTTTGTACTGAAAATGATACTTAAAACATGTATTTGCTGAAAAATATTTACACACTATTTACTGAACTAGCTTTTTAACCAACAATGACATGAAGCAACAAGGAACATTAGCATTACTCCTCCAGGGAGGGGATGCTCAGTAGTCTTTTGGGGCTACCCTTTGGTTACCCATAATGTTTGCATGCTGGCCATTAGGCCTCTCAGCACCCTTCTCCCTCTTAGCATGTGACCAGGGTCTCATTTTATTTTGGTGCTGTAAGACACATGTTTCTCTGCTGGCTGGAAGATTTGAAATAAGAGGGAAGAGTTTTACCAGGTGCCTCGCACTGATTATATCAGTGCTGGGCCCCTTGTAGACCTCTTGCCTCATTACTCCAGTACTCATACTTTCCTATGGATGAAGAATACTTGTGGCAAAGTGCTATTAATCAGGGCTTGTACCTAGGCTACGTCATCTATATTTTCTTGGCACAGCAAGACGCATGTTTCTCTGCTGGCTGGAAGATTTGAAACAAGAGGGAAGAGTTTTACCAGGTACTTCGCACTGATTATATCAGTGCTGGGCCCCTGGTAGATCTCTTGCCAGCTGGCATTGCTCCAGTATTCATACTTTCCTATGGATAAGGAATACTTGTGGCAAAGTGCTATTAATCAGGTCCTGTTCCTAGGCTACGTCCTCTATGTTTTTCTTCCCACATATCATTTTTTTTGTTTTCAATTTTTCATGTAAAGGTTTATAGTACACTGGCTGGTAGTATCTATACTACATTTTTCATGGATTAAGTAAAACATAAATGGAAGAGTGAAATTAATAGGCTTAAGATAATCAGTTTAGTTTGAACTGAGACTATATTTTGACCATGTATCCATATTCTCATGGTTTTGTACATGAAGAAAATGGCTGAATGGCATTGCTCAAAGACAACAACGTTTGATATTTTCTCAGTGTTTAGTGAACATAAAAGAGGACAGGACATTTTTCTCTGGTGGTCAGGACTTGTGTGTTTGGAGTGAAAAGGGAGAGTTGCTGGATAAAATGCAGAGGAACAGTGAAGACTGTGAGTAGTGTATTGGGTTTTTAATCATTCTTTGCATCAGAAATTGACATAAAATAAAATAACAGTAAATCATTGATAAGTTTCCAGTGATATTTGACAATATATCCTTCTCTCCCATTTGAAAATATTTTATTTCAGTCATTCTATTGTGAATTATTTAAACATGCTGATTGAATTGATTTATTTTTACCTCTAGGTGATATCCACACATTGCTTCCTATAAAGAATAACCGGATAGTGGCTGCTTCAAATAAATTTTCACTTGGTAAAGTTGTTCTGACTTAGAAACTCTTTCATATTCTTATCTTGCCAATTTACTGTAGTGCTCCTGATTAAGTTTAAAAGACACTAATTCTTCATGACTGTTACAAAACAAACTCACAACACAAACTAATTCTGAATAACTTAGCAAAGGCTGTAGTTATACGGTCATGTGAAGTTTACATATTTCTTGTGTGTCCTACCTACTAATTTTCTCTTGCCTTCACTTGACCTCACAAGCTACTTTATAATTATATCACACTCTTACATGCTCTCATGCATTAACACTCCATGTACTCCACCTGGTATCATCTTCCAGCCTTCCTGCTTTACTCCCTCTGTTTGTGTGTTTACTGGTTACTCCATCTGTTCATTCACCGGTCCATCAGTTAGTCAAAGTCAATCTGCCTTTCAGTCTTTCATCTGTTCACTTCTTAATTTCTTCATTCATTAAATTATTCATTCAGTATTTTTTCATCTGTTTTTTAGTTCATTGGTTTATTTATTTACTTACTCACTCACTCATTCCTTTAGGTATTTGTTTGTTTTTCCCTGAATATTTCATTGTCATGAAATGCATTAACCCTTTAAATCCCATGAGTGACCAGTACAGAATTTTTCCTTACAATATCAATACAAAATCAACCAGAAAGTGATGAGAATAAAGAAAAATATCAATTTGGACATAATTAGTTGATCCAATACTGAATTCTCTAAACTAACATAATAAGAATTGCATGATTGACAAAGAAGAATCACAAATTTGATCTGGGAGTTGAAGGGACAATAAGATAATACATGATTATAAATGATTTGACTGGTATTTTATTTGATACCAACAGTGGTATATTCAGTGACAAGGAGCACAGATGATTCCCAAAATATGAAAATAGTTGAAGTCAAGAAACTCCCACCTCACAGGGAATCAATTAGGTGCCTTATCAGTGTAGCAGGTTTGTTTTAGAATTGAAGGCAAGTAGCTGAAACAAAATACTGTGTTGAAATAAATAGACTTGTTTGTTAGTAGCCAATTTGGAACAGAGGTTTGAGACTGATGAAAAAAAATCTGACCAGCTTTTACTGGTATTAGTTACTACTTAAAAAATTAAGGTGAATGATTCTAATTCATAGAATTTTGAACTCAAAGAGTCTACATTCTGAGCAAATTGAGACCAGACTTTTGCTTAATGCCTCTTTGTGAAGAATAATCCGCAAAATTAACTATTTAAAATTGTTACAATGGTAAAGAAATTTTGAGAAAGATTGAGTTTCAAATGGTATTTTGAAATGTCTTCTAAGTAATATTTTAAGAATTTTACTAGGAGTGCACAATTTAATTTAGTTTTGAATCCATCTGTGTGGTAACAACTGTTTTTGAAATCCAGAAAATTCTGGTACAGATTTCACAATTTTTCATGTTTGAACATAGGGATGAATTTAGATCTAAAATTGTGATACTTGTGTCTTGAACCCAAAACTAACTCCTGATGATAGATAGATTAGTTTGCAGTGTTCAAAAAGATGAGGTTTTGAACAGTAAATGTTAGTGATTAATTTATTGCATATAGATCTACAGGTACATGTAAGTATAGTTATTGAAAAAAGTGTCAACTTCACTTTTTTTTCTTTGATCAAAAGACAGCATGTTTGCATCAGCATCACTGGATGGAGCCATCATTCTGTGGAGCTCTCTTAGTCTTTCTCATACACGACAGTTTAACTTTGTGAAGGACTATGAAGGACCATTTCACACCTACCCCGCAAGTACTCAGCATATCTTCACTGTTGATCAGGTAGAACACTGATAAGTCTTAGTAACGAGAACAGGAAGCATTGAAAATTAATTTAGTATATTCTCTTGGTCTAATTAATAAACTGTTTTGGGTGTGTGTGTGTTTTTTTTTTCCAAATCTTCATTTACAATTACATCAGTGAAAAGTGCGTCATACACTTAATTATTATACAGTCTAATTTTGGAAAGAGATATCAAACAGCTCAACCAGTCTTGCCATGCAGCAAATAATACAATTGGTTTATTTGTAGTGAAAGGAAAAGGAAAGGGGCAGCCTGAATCTAGATCATGATTCATCCTCATGTAGTTTCTAGATGTTCTCCACTTTTTTTTTATTTTTTTTATATAAAGCTGAGTTGGTATTAGTATCCATTGTCCATGTACCTAACATGTCTTGTTTATTTATTTATATATTTAATAATTATTTATTTTATGCTGTTTGTAGAAATACATATTGGCTTCCATTGGGCATGGATTTTTCTTGTATGACACTATGTCAGGTATGATGCTATATTTCAAGTTAGGTTGTGTGCAATTGATAATTATGAAAAAATTTATGATTTCCATCTCAACTGATGACACCATGCAATATAGACTTTTTTTTAGATGACTTGGTTGGCTTTTAATGAACTTACATCTCTGTACTAATGTAGGGAACTGCCTTGCCAAAGTCACAAATGCACATCATGGGAAAATAATTCACTCTGTGCTGTTGTGTAAAGGGTAAGGTCTTTGAAAGTGGTAAATGGTAATGTGGATCATGTGGTCAATGTGTACTTCTGAGGTATGCTTTGCAACCCCAGCTAGTTAAAAAGTGCTTAAATTTGTATAGTCATGGCATATGCAAAAAATAGACTAAAAGACTCTGCATTTCATACAAAAACTCTATCAGGAATCATTTAGAACTTCAAACAAAATCAAGCAAATGGCCTAAACTAAAAAAATTTTGCAATTGACCGTCGTAATACCAAACCCAAATTAACTACAACAGTCAATCAGAAGAAAGGGAAATACCTTTAGGAGCCAGTAAGAAATTAAAGGAAAAACAACCAAACTGTAAATCAGGCTCAGGGAAAACAAGTGCAACCAAGTTCTGAGTGGTTTTAGTTTTTGTCCAATTGTTTGAGTGAGTGGTGCAAGTTTTCTGGACCAATTATGGAGTGAAGTAAAGCAAAACCAATGAAATTTAGGATTGGTTTGAACATTCAGATGAAAATTGTGCTCTGAGGAAGGAATTTGATCAAGACAAGTCTGGTTGTAGTTTTATGTCAAATTTGTAAAGAGGGTGGCAAAGCATAGAGAAGTAAAACGTGGTATAAGTCATCTCAGATTGATTTCAACACTCACTTGAAAATTTCTCTTAGAATTAATTTATCTTTTTGTTCATAGTTATCTTTTGGCAACCTGTTCTGAGGATGGCTCTGTAAGAATTTGGGGATCACCAAATCCTCTTTTTGTCTGTAAGTCTTTATTTCTCTTTTTCTTTTTTACATAGATTGCTTTGGGAGTGCCTATGCCTTAGATAGCATCTTTGCAATTTTTGAATCCCCCTCCTTGACTGTCTCTGAATTGTACCTCATTCCTACCAGTTCCTATTAGTTTTGGTCCACTTTGACCAGCTGAGGCTCTCTGAATAAATTTCTTTTCTAAGATATATGAAATTACATCAGAAATCTTCAGAGAGAGAGAGGCTGGCTTCCCACTGCTGTGAGTTGGGTTTGATTCCTGTTCCAGGGGTCACACATGGTCTGAGTTTGGTGATGTTTCTCATCCTTGCTCTAAGAGTTTCTCTCCAGCAGGGTTCTCCGGATTTTCTCCCCTGTGACCCATTTAGCTGAAGCTTATTTTGATTTCCATGGCATAAAGTGACCAGGACCTTTACTTTTCCCCCATTCAATATATTCCCCCTTTCAATCTCAAGGTTATCCCCTAGTATTTCATCAGGCTTCCCTTACAATTTGCTGATACCCATTTATATTCCTGGAAGGAGAGACGTACCCAGACCTCTCGCCCTTGAGTCCAGGTGGCTAACCATTACGCCTGCGCGTTCCCCACACGCAAAATATCTTCTAATTCTAATTTGAGTGGTGTAATATTCACTATGCAATTATATAAAAAAATATTTCCCTATAAAAATTGATAACTGTTTTTAAATTTCGGCTCGGTTTGGAATAACCGCAAGGAAAATCCCAACCCGTTTATAGATATTTCCTCAATTTTCTTTTTTGTTAATGCAGTCTATTGGCTTTTTGATAGGTGATGGTTCTACGTCGCCATCCTTCACTTTGCAAGTGGAGAGATTTCTTGGTAAAAGGTAAACCAATACATACACGTATAAGTTAAATGTGTTTCTCTTATTTGTTCATCCTAACGTCATATTTGAGTATTTTTTTCATCCCTTTTCCAGCATTTCAGAAGTGCAAAATATCAAGCCACCAATCACTCCAGCGCTTCTTGGAGAGTGTCTGGCTCATACGGGCGCTATACATGTAAGTTGAATAAAGAACGACTTTGACTTATTAGTTGACAGAAAGATTTTCACTTTGTTGAATAAATTGAACATACAAATTCCAAAGGCAGTTGGTTGGTTGCGTCTGATTGGTTGAGAGGATGTTGCGAGAGATCTGGACCGAGAGCACAGCAAAGTGAGGCAAAACCAAAGTAATCTGGGATTACTTTCGACCCTTAACCCTTCAACTCCTAGAAGTGATTAGCATGTAACTTCTCCCTAAAATATCCATACACTATCTAGCAAACAGGTAATGAGAATCAAGCTGAGGCTCTCTGAATAAATTTCTTTTCTAAGATATATGAAATTACATCAGAAATCTTCAGAGAGAGAGAGAGGCTGGCTTCCCACTGCTGTGAGTTGGGTTTGATTCCTGTTCCAGGGGTCACACATGGTCTGAGTTTGGTGATGTTTCTCATCCTTGCTCTAAGAGTTTCTCTCCAGCAGGGTTCTCCGGATTTTCTCCCCTGTGAACCATATAGCTGAAGCTTATTTTGATTTCCATGGCATAAAGTGACCAGGAAAATCAATAAAAACAACTTATCACATACAAGTTGTTTTTATTGATTGAACACCAAATTCTCTCAACTAATTTAGAAGGAAATATGTAGCAGCAATAGGGGAGAATTAACAATCAGATCTTGGGAATGAAAGGGTTAATTGAGAATTACTCTAAGATCAACGTAACATACTCTGATGTTGTTAGAAGTTACTTGATTTTAATGTTATGGGTTTGGAGAGGTTTAACTTTTTATCTAAATACTGATTAATCTGCGACCGAAATTCGGGTCCTCACCGATGTCCACGCCTCGAAACTTTGAATCAGTGCAGAATAAGATTTGGAATCAAATGCCTGTCTTTTATAATGACTGTTATTCTCCAATAGATGGCTGTTAATCTTGGTGAGGAAGGCTTTGCTTCCTGTGGAAGTGATGGCCTTGTTGTCTTGTGGAAGGTAAGTGGTATTTTCCTCGATAACGAAGTTTCTAAGCTCCACTCCCTCGCCAAGTATGGTCTGTAGGTAGCCGCCTTAATTCAGTTCCATTTGGGGCGAAAAAACGTAGTCCAAGGTCTCACTAGTAATGCATTGCGCACCCTTACTGCGTATACACATACATAAACATTATTACCTTTCTTCCTTTATGGCCGTAGCTAGTTAGTGAGGTAAATCGTCATTTTCTAAAAAAAAAAGATACTGAGGAGAGCCAACAGACTTTTTTCTTCTACTTGAGCTTCAATTGCTTCGCTTTAATTTGAAATTAAAGGACGACTGATACCCTTTGTAGAATTCGAAATGATCGTCAAATTCACAAGTATGCAACTGTATATAGTGTGCGATATTGCAGTCAAAATCCAAGTTCCATTGAGGTGAACAACCATTAGGTAAAGTTCGACAAAAACTTTGGGGGGGTTCTGCAATTTTTTTAAGAATTCAGTCACGATAACCGCGTTCTCAGCATGTGGTAGACCTATTTCAGTCAACGCTAGATCTCTTTTGCTTTCAGGACGGTGAACTGGAGAAGAAGAGAAGGAATGAAATGGTTCGAAATATCTTGCTATCGATGGATGATACGAGATGATGTAGGGATATTGTTAGCCGCTGATCAGGACTGTTAATTGACTCAACACGCCCACGACCCTGGGGACTTTCGCTCCATCTGATAGTTGTATCAACATCAGGCTTATAGGACACGAACAGCAATCGTAGAGAGAATGCACTGCTCTTGGCCCCCTTTAACCTCGACCAGTCAATAGAAAAACCCCTGTGTAAACATTCCAAATCAAGCGCTAGACGGACATTCTTCCAAGATTTAAAAAAGAATGTATAGAGAAGTAAATACTCTCCTCTCAAAAATGGTTGTGACGAAGCTTTGATTAGAGCGATGCTCTACTGTGTTCAGCTAACCTCTGTCCGAGTGAAAGCGGTATATCGGTGATTAGAATAGTTTTGTTTATCAAACGGACATAAAAAAGGAATGAAAATACTAATTCCAGGAAGAGGCTTCAAAATTTGCAGTGGAAACAATTATTCCGCGACACAAGGACTGAAAGAGTGCAACAGATGTGATGTTGCGTTCTTTTTCTCTAAAGCAGTGTAAATACAGAGGCATAGAAATAAGAGTGTAAAACATAAAAAAATGACAAAACTATAACAATTTGGTTTGTAATTTGTGATTTGTTTCCTTTTTACAAACAAGCTAAGCTACTGCAATACCATCTTGTCGTGCAGTCGTGAATTTCGTGTATATCTAGTGTAATTCTACCATCGACGGCTGCAAATGTCTCAACAAGATATGTACATAACGCCTTACTGAATGAAGACATCATTTGTGGAATAACTCTCCCTTTCAAAAGCTTAAACTTCACAAAAAGTCGTTTGGAAAGAGCCCTTTTCGATATTCTTTTTCTTTACAATAGGGCAAGTCGATCATACTCGACGGATTTAAAAGTTTCTCTGTCTCTCGCGGATCCTCAAATCTCCTTGAATAGCCACATTAAAACTGTCGATATGTCCATGCTAGTCTCATCCATTCGGTGTAACCTCTCATTGTCGAGTTTTTAAGTGGTTTGAGAAATAAATTTTCTCCATTTCTGTAGTCCATGTCAGGACGCGAATAAAAATTCGTAAAGAACTGAATCGCAAACCACAAACACGTGCTGCAAACGTTCAAAAATGTGTTTTGTACAAAAACTATCCAATATCCAAATTTCTTCTACTTGTGGTCTGCCATCTGCAAAGAAAATGAATTCTCACTTTCATTTCTTGGTAAGAGATATATTGCGTCTGTAGGCTAATTTATGCCAATCTACCGATCCACATGTAATTTCTCCTCAAAAACAAAAGGTACAGTTTCCGATAGAAACAGCTACTAAACAGGTTTCCAAAGCTAAAAAAATAATGAAAAAGAATTCAATTGAAAGTTTTTTTCACTGAAAAAGATTAGATTTAAGAAAAGTGATATTTTTTCCTTCTGTCCAAGCACAAACCATTGTGTTGGATTCATAAAGCACTTCATCTTTTCACCACTTGTGCGATGATTCATTTTGGGTACCTGTTGAACACAGCTTTAAAACACCATTGATTGCATTTGAAGACAAAAAGCATCTCATTAAAATGTCTTCGTCCTTATTTTTACAAGTTCGTAAGCCACGAAAACCAATTTTTGGACCAGGAGCGTTTAGACAGAAACTTCTCAGTCCTTACTCGGCAAGATTAGTAAAAACTGAAAGGCGAAAGATCTTTCGAGCCATCGAAAGCGACCTTGCACCTGTAGTTTTATGTTGAGAAAAAAAAACAAAAGGAATCAAGAACTCCACTTACCCAGGATCTATGAGATATTGCTCGACTTGATGACTCCATTCACAATACTTAAATCCCTTATTTGGACAACTTGCACAGGTCTACTGTCCTCACAAATGACATCTCCCATGTTATATGCTGGAACAGCGGGAGCGGCTGGATAATATGGCACATACTGTTTTTTGTCCTTTTGACTTCCTTTTGCTTCACTCTTCCCTGAACTTTCGTGATCATTCTCCTTATTTTCTGTTTTATCGTCAGTCTTTTTGTCACTTACATCTCGTCTATTTCTACATGGCCTTGGAGCCGCACTAACTTGGTACAGAATAAGGAGTAGGCACACGATCACGGCATATGCCCTCATGATTTTGGCGCGCCGACGAACCTTCCAACTGTGGAGGAAAAGATAAGTTACTCCAGTATAAGCTTGACGACTTCTCTACACTCCCGTTTTGCACAACCGAGCAAAGAAATCGAGATATTCACATACTACTTCTCCTAGATCGATGTAGAGGAAAAGACAAAACTAGAATTCACGGTTTTGAAGAGTAAATAATTTATGTGCTCAAACACGTATTTTATTGATAAGTGTTAGCGATGAAGTCCTGGAGAGATCATAAATACGATTTCAACTTGCACGAAAGCTGAACGCTAAGCTAAAGGAAACAGTTTAATAGTTTATAGCTAACGGATGGAGTTCAATTAATTGAAATGATTATTATTTCCCATAAGGACCACAGTTTGGGATACTGTCGCGTTTCCCATTCACAAAAAAGGTTGACATCTTTAGTTTTGTAGGTTATTTAAGGTGGAAAACGGGTACCGAACAATGGGCAATATAGCAGGCGGAGTAGAAAGACAAACTTGAAAAATATTTCAGAAAAAATCAAAAGATATGTTACGATGTAATTCATGGTTGCAATTCCACAAATCAAATATTCTGGACAGATTCACGCTTGTCATAATCTCGAACCGACTAATCAATCGTCCATAACAATGATTTTATTGCCAGTACGGTCGCTCGTCAATAATTTCCTCTCATGTTCAATGAACCTCAAACAACAAGAAACCGTGGTAAAACAGCATTGCTTGCTAGTTGTGTGACCGTTTTAATGGCATAAACAAAATTAAATCATTGTCTGTGGAGAGGTCTCCCGCAAACTTGCTGTAAACTGTTGGACCGAGTTAACTTGAAACAGACACGCTAACTTGCTCATCAAGGCTACAAAACTATCTTCGAAAAAAGCAAAATTTAAAACAGAAAAAGAACAGTGAAAATTGTTCAATTTTTCCGAAGAAAAGAAGCTTTCCGACTCATGTTTGAAAAGTTGTTCCCCTGGAATCGTAGGTCTTGCCTTAAGAATTTTTTCGCTAAATTCAAAAAGGAAAATACTACAGTTCTTCATCGAGCTAAAAATCAACTTAACCAGCCAAATCATTTTTACCTACATGCACAAACGCGTAATTTTAAAAAAATTCGCGGTGAATTCGGGTACCGTGAGGTTTCACTTCATTAGGTGGAGATTAAAAATCAAACAAAGGCGTAGGACTTACCTGCGAGTCGGAGTCACTCAGAAAAGTCACTGAATATGATACCACGGTCGTGCCTTTCATCATCGCTTGTGATTGGTTGAGCAGTGAGCAAATCATCGACCCGTAACTAACAGTTACGCCATGGTTAGTTAAATTTTAAGAATGACCTCAATAGACTATTGTCTCGCGCACAATCCATCACCTGTTGTAACACCTCGCTGAAATTATCAACAACAAGACTTGTTCTTCGGATCACAATAAATCAAATCAACATTTTAATTTTAAGCGTTTTGGATTCGTTAATGGGTATTTGCTTTACAGTTTTTAACTGCAACGTAGTTCTACTCGCTTTTGGGAGGAATCTGTAAGACAGGTCGTACATAACGCAACTCTCAGGTCATTGGTTCTCGTTTTCTAGTTCCAATTACAGCAAAGCGCGCTTTGCGTTACCGGTTATTTTAAAATACACAGTACTATCATTTGTTGAAGTTCTCTGTTAGTATACATAAGTTATTGTTTGCGCAGTTCAAGTCTGCACAGTGTCGCAAACTAACTCGCTGACACCAGCACCAAACAAATTTAGTTTTAAAAACGGTGCTATACCAGATGTTCTCATGCAAATGACAACTGCAATTAGACAGGTCTAATAATGACAGATCGAGACTATGGTTTTTCTTTTCGTGTTTGTTTACTCATGACCAAACTGTCAGGCTGACTGAGAGTCCTAAGAAGTAATCGAGTTTCTTGAACCTCTCCAATAGTCTTGCAAAGCTGAGCATTGAGCTTTCATTTAGAACGATAATGTTTGTCTTGACACGCGTGCAGGATAAGGAAAAACTCCTTTGAGCTCAGTGGTGGTGCATCGGAACGCGGAAGAGCCGGGAAGGGGGTGGGGCTGATAAAATTTTCAAACGCGGGGTGAGGGAAGGGGAGGGGAGGGTTAGGATGAGACTGTCATGGTAACCTTTCCTTTTTATCGCTTCGAATCAGCAACAGCGATTGTAGAATAAAGGTATATTTCCGTCCTTAGATATTATTAAGTGTATCTAATTACACTTCGCTAGCACGATCTTCGCTTAGCTCGTGTTCTCGGTACATCTGTCACCATTACAACAAATTGAGCTGTCAAGGAAGTGTCTTTTCAGATGTTTTAATACCAGTCGCAAATCTTGCTAAGTGACAAAAGAAAGGTGTGATGGGAAGAGCAAAGAGGAAGAGCTTATGATAAACATTGCCAGGGTATCCCTTCCTTTTCCTTTCTTCAAGTCGACTACGTACGGTCAAAGCGAAAAAAATGACATGTTTATGTTCTTGAATAGTATAAATAAGTAGAGTCACATTTCGCTCAGGGGTTTTTTTTAGTAAGCAAAACATAGAAAGATTTTCGATTAGATCAAGTTTCCTCAATACCTCCGTCACCTTTACTGCAAATTAAGCTGTCGCTGTCAAAAAATGTGTGGTTTCAGATGTTCTAATACCAGTCGAGAAAGACTTTGCAAATGACAAGAAACAATTAGATAAATCTGGGAAGAGATAAATCCAGTCTTCTTCTTTCAATGTTTACGGGGGTGTTGGATTGTTACATTTTCAAAGTATCCAAATAAAGGAATGGGGATTGTGTAAAGGAATAGGAGAGTTTTTGAGACTAGAGTTTCTACAGACCTATGAAGTACCTTTTCGAAATTACTACAAATTGAGCCGTCAAAAAGGTGCCTGGTAAGATGTTCTAATACTTTGCTTTTGTGTTTTGTTTTTGTTTTGTCTTCCTTCTTCTTCTTCTTCTTTTTTTTCTTTTGCGAAGATGAGAATGACATGCAAGCTTAAGGCCTTTCGAACATATCAATTTTCTGGAGCTTCTCCAAATCTCTTTAAAAATATTGAGCTTGCACTGTAAACTAGGACTAGAGACTGCTCTAAAATTTCAGAACAAGGCCAAGTCTACAAAATTGTCTTTTGGAATTCATGGGACTAGCTGACTACTTTCTGACGTAGGAAACCGAAACGCAAAGTAATTGTCATAATAAGGTATCTCAGTAAAAGGAAGGAATATTAATCATTAGAAATAATTTATTCCAATAGCGTTAGCCACATGATAATTTTGTCGAATGTAATAAGAGAAATCGTTAAATGACTGAGTGGCCTGGTGATTTTTGCTGAACCCTAGATTAACTATTAAATCCCATGATAACCAAGACAGAATTTCTCCTCACAATGTCCTTCCAATATCAAGTACACAAACGATGAGAAGAAAGAAAAATATCATTCAGGGGATTATTAGTTGATCCAATACCGTATTCTCAGAACTAACATCACAAGAACTGTATGGCAGACAGTAAGGAGAATTACTGATGAGATCTTGGGAGCGGAGGGGGTTAAAGAGAAGGAATTTAAGCCTTCCACTTCTGTGGCCCGGGTTCCATTCCCGGACCTGGCGTCACATTTGGGCTGAGTTTTTCGTAGAGTTTAGACCTTTTCTTTGATGGTTTTTCTCCGGGTCCACCGGTTTTCCTCCCCCTAAAAAAACTCATGAACATTTCAAAGTTCCAATAAAGAAACATTGGACAAGAAGACCCTCCTCCTGAAATTAATGTCTGCTGCTTAACAGCCATTATTGTCATAAATCACTTCATGTCAAGGATAAAAACAGTTGGTTTAGATAAATTTGGGTTTTGCAGACAAAGGAACATTGAAGCGTATATAACTCTGAAAATTTTTTTTTATTTTATACGAGATTACTTGTCACTACATTACCATAAGCTTAGAAGTGATGTAATTAGTAAGAGAATCAGATTCTTAAGCCTGGTAATTTCGAAGAAAGATTTAGGTTTACAGTTATCAAAAGATTACCAATAGATATAATAGTTTCAAACGATTAACCAAAGTTTATAGCTGCCTCTCGGGCAGAGAAGGGTATTATCAGGGAGGAAAGCGTCAAAAAAAGGAGGGGACGTCTTCATTGAGATAAACGGTCGAGTGGAAAGATTAAAGCTACAAAATGTTGTTCTTCGAATCGACTCGACTCAGCAGCAAAAGGTTAATGGAACATCCTGCTACACAACTTCGTTTTTTCGTTTTGTAGCTCCGTCGTAGAAGTCGCAACCGTAATAATGGTTTTGGTCTAATACCTGTAACTGAGTTTGATAACCGGCGAGAAAAACAATGAAATTGGCTTTGCATAATTTGTTTTTCAAGTTACTCGTTTCCATTCCTTAATCCTCTCTATTTCTCTAAGACCAGTGGGCTCAGCTTCCTGTCTTCGAGTTAGAGTATAGCGGAATTATCCTTACAACAACTGAATTTAAATAACCTACAGGTGGTAACTTCTTGATTTTGATATAATTTCTTGCGAAAATCAAATCTCTCCCAACTTTAGTTAGTCTTTATTGAGCTAGCTGAAATGAATGCAGTATCAGAGGCTTAGAGGGACTTTGAAGCCATGAAACTTTAATAACATAATTGTTGACTTGATAGGCAACTTAGGAAAACCCAGACGACAAAAACATCTACTATAGGCTTTTTTGAGGCTACTACTACCGAAAGACCCCGGGGCTCGTTTTGATCATACCAAATGCATTTACTCACTTTTGTTACGAGATATCGTGCTGAAGAAACTAACAATAGCTTCTCCGTCTTGAAAGATGTCAGACCAAAATGACGTCAAATGTTCTATCGCCTTCCCGGCATCCCTTCCTAGCGTTAGTAAATAATGCTAACAAGTGATGCCGTAAAGGTGACAAAAATTTCCTTCCACATTATAAATCCCTTATAGGAACCACACTGTTTCTCAGTTTTTGTCACTGATTCTGAAAATTTTCATTAGTACCATTCTTCATATCACAATTGTTGATAATCATATTGTCATTACCACTGATATTATCACGTGATTAGGCATACTTGATACAGCGCCTATTGTATCATTTAGTCTCGTACCCAGACGTTCCACGACCAAGTGGTTGTAAGTACATTTCAGTTACAGTCTCACGGTAGGATT